GGGAGAGGCGTGGCCTTGGGGAGAGGCGTGGCCTTGGGGAGAGGCGTGGCCTTGGGGAGAGGCGTGGCCTTGGGGGAAGAGGTGTGTCACTGTGGGTGGGCTTTGAGGTTTCCAAAGCTCATGCTAGAAGCCAGAGGCAGTTTTTGCTCTTTCTACCTCCATCTTGCAAAGATGTGAGCTCTCAGCTACCGCTCCAGTGTCATGCCTGCCTGTAGCCATGCTTCCCGCCATGGTGATCATGGACTAGCCTCCGAAACTGTAAGTAAGCCCTCGGTTAGTGCTTTCCTTTTATAAGTTGCCCTGGTCATGCTCTCTCATCACTGTAACCGAACAGTAACTACTCCAGTGTGGGGCCAATAGGTAGCTGGTTTAAATACCATCTTGGCGTTCTGTCAAGTAGTTTACATTCCTTGCTTTCTCCATGCCAGCATCAGACTCGAGTCTTCCAGTCCAGTTGATACCACAGACACTCTATTTATCTCTAGCTCACAGACTTCTCTAAATTTTGATAAAGTCAATATTTGCATATCCGGGCAGTGGTGGCACACGCCTTTAATCCCAGCATTTGGGAGGCAGAAGCAAACGGATCTCAGTGAGTCTGAGGCCATCCTGGTCTACAAACCGAGTTCCAGGACAGCCAGGACTGTTGCAAAGAGAAACCTTGTCTCAGAAAACAAAACAAAAATCAATATTTGCTAACGGCCTATTTTTTTATGTTGTCATTTGTACTGTTAACTTATAAGGCCATCCTATTAGCTCTTTTTATCCTTAATAACAAGAATATTTTGAAAATGGGATACGAGGTATTCAAAATCGAGTTAAAGGAACCCAGAATTCAAACAAGATCCTTCTTTAAAGCAGAGAAGGTATCATTCTGTCCTTTGTTATGGCTTTGTGGTTATGTCCTTTGTTATTGCAACGCTCAGAATTCACCTGGAATAGCACTGGGCCTTACCTTGTATCTGGTTTCAGATTTTCTACTGTAGAAAAGGTTTGATTTGTAATTTGAATGGACTTGTTCTTCCCACTGAATGACCCATTTTCTCTGGATATGACTTCATATTCTGAAAATGGAAGTAAACAGTAGACACTTGTGTTATGTCTCAGTTGACTTAATTGTTCCTGAGGCTAATAGCATGCTAAAGACACTCTCATAGAGATGACAGGTTGACTGGAGTTCTAGAAACATGATCTTTAGAAAATAGATTTATTTTTAATTATGTGTGTGTGTGTGTGTGTGTGTGTGTGTGTGTGTGTGTGTGTGTGTGTGTCTGGGGTGGGGGTGGGTATGTACGTGTGAGTACAGTTCCCTGTGAAGTCCAGGAGAGGGTGTTGGATTCCTGGAGCTGAAGTTATAGGTGACTGTGAGCTGCCCAATATGGCTTCCGGAAATCAAAGAAACAGGAAGTGCTCTTAATAGCTGAGCCACTCTCCAGCTCCAAGACACCATGATCCCATCTTTGAGCAATTTTCAGTCACCAGATGGCAGAGCACTGCATTTGGGGAATGGATATTAACTAATCTTGCTTTCTTAGAATGGAAGAAGACCTAATAACTGGTGAAGACTGCTCGGCCATTGCTTTGGATGCACAGTTTAGTTTGGTAGAAAGGCCAGTTTAGGGAAAGCACTGTATAAGGGACAGCGCTTGAATGAAAACCATGTTTCTTGCTATCTTCCTGGGGGCCGGGCATGGAGTATGGTGTCCTGTTACAACAAATCTGACCCTAAAACTGTGTGTCAGCAGCAACAGTTAACCAAATATTAAAACCTCTTTGTTGTTTGGGGCTGTAGAATTGGATTTTTTAACTTAATGCTTGCTTATTTATGTTCCCTGGATAGTTTTGTATTAAATGAAAACCGCAACCTTAATGTCTCATAAATTTCCCTTCAAGGCAGGGGTCTCTGAACTTGCAGACTCACTCATCAATAGGGAAAGGCCTTCAGAAGAAGGGAATCTGACAGCTTGTTAACTTGTTTTCCTACTTCTCACTTGGGAATCAGAACATTTGCCATCAGGGGTATCTGCTGGCTGGGAGGTAGTCCCATCTGAAATCAAGTGGCACTTCATGTAACACTAAAACAAGAAATGGAATCTATGGGGATCATTAGGAGAGACGGTCTGATGTTTAAAGGTAGACTAAGAGAACAATGGCTAGATGTGATCCTTGGCCATGAAAATTTTAATTGTGAAAGACTCTGAGCAGCTCATTAGCATCTAGTGTGGAAATAATTATGAAGACAGTGTGTTAGGTACATAAAGTATACTCTCCTCATGACTTGTTACAACTGGAACTTATATAACTTTGCCAGGTGGTGGCGGTGGTGCACGCCTTTAAATCCCAGCACTCAGGAGGCAGAGGCAGGCAGAAATCTGAGTTTGAGGCCAGCCTGATATGTAGTGAGTTCCAGGACAGCCAGGGCTACACAGACAAACCGTGCCTCAAAACACCATATTATCCAAATGGAGAGGTATTAGAAATTAGGTATATCAGATTAAATAATTCCAACTTGATAGCCCAACACCTTTAGAGCAAACAAAATTTGGTTTATCATTTGATTTCAGGATATTAGAACTCTTATTAGTAAAGTGGATAATCAAGAGTTTTGAATGTTTGAATACATGATGTGGATAATCAATACTGAAAGTTGATTGACTTTTAGGAATTAAGAGAGCAGCATCTACTGGCTCAACCCTAAAGGAGTCAGCAGGACTCGGCAGGTTCCTAGAAACACTGGTGGTGACAGACTCTCTCTTACAACAGAGGCTGCCCCTTCATGAGAAAGGAAACTGAAGGCAGTTCAGCGAAGGGAACGTTTGTATGGGAAGTTGCTCAGATCACATGGTTTTGGAGAAGGAGAGATAACTGCTTAGTTCCCCTTTACCCACAGTAGAAAATATTTTCTGGAAGATTCTGAGTCTCCTTGCTCACGCCCTTGCCCTCCACAGTGCTCCGGTCTACTTCAGACAGCTGCTGAGTCTATGCTTCTATCCCTGCAACAGGGGCCTGCCAACAGGAGTCACATGGACTCCCGCCGACTAGGTACCATCCTCCAGCAATCCCGGATGTTAGTCAGTCTGTTTCCCATTTCCTGTTTGACCCTCCTTTTCTATATTACAATCAGAGTGTGCCAAACCAATCGTAACAAATTCAAAAACTGATTCTAGGTTTCTTATTTTCCGTGACCATTTATAGAGGCATTAGGTCGGTGTTTCCTCAGATAAGGAGCAAATGGCCTGGGAGTGAGGGAGTTCTTACTTATTTTTATTTTCTTTTCAATTTCTCCAAAGTTAGCTGAAATCATTTTTTAGCCTGTTTGGAAGTCCTCAGCCAGTTTAGAAACTGGGTTGGTGAAAAGAAAGCTATTTTAAATGTTACCAGAGGTGTCAAGTCTTCATACCCTTGATGTGATTTTCTCGGTAAAATCGTAAGACTGCATTTTCAAACTGTGGAAGGGAATTCTGAGAGGGATGGCAGGAATACAGCTGTAAAGTTCTCGGTTAACTAGGAGCCCATAACAAAAACCAGTATCTTTTTTCTACCTACGACACTTTGGACAACAGAACTTTTGCTCCGCCTTAGATGTGGTTTTTGTAGCCCAGTTTGACCCCCGCTGCCCAGGTTGGAAGCCCCGTGCTTTCAAAGCTTCCCATCATAGTGTCACATCCCACTGCCACGATCTCACCAGTGACCGTGTCATTTAGTGGCTTTTCCCAGTCCAAGATGACAAACGAGGGGCAGCCTTCCACGGTGACCACAGTGAGGTTGGTGGGCGGGTTCTGTGGCGGGCTGGTGGCATTCCCTTCTATGGCTTCCTCCGTAGGGAACCGCCTGACGGAGTCGGTGATGGAACAGGGTCTGTTGTCAGGCTTCGGGATATATCGCACATGGGGCCCTAAGAGTGGGAAAGAGAGAGGACCCTTGACAATTAGCACACAGGAAACTTGTGAGGAAGACGGAGGAGGCGAACTAGTCAATTTGATCTTCTATTCAAGGACTTGGGTGTCACATTCTGAGCAGACATTTGAAAACAGTGCTGAGGACACCTTAGCCTTCCAACTCTAAACTCTACCTCTGGGATGTATGATAGAGATGCTGTGTTTATAGATCCACCCAGTGTTGCTGTTTGGTCTCTTCAGAGTCAGTGCCTACCTCCTAATTTATAGGGAGCGAGTCTCGGGCAGTAGGAATGAGCACCGCCCTAACCAACATTCTGAGCAAAGCGAGACTCACAAGGACCAAGCGGTTCTGAATAGTCAACTGTACCTCGGAACAAAACTCAAGAATATTTTAGGAATGGACTATACAATGCCCAACAAGGTAAAATTCACAGGAAAATACTGTTCGTGGTGAGAGAAACCAGTCCTTTGAGACCAGCTTAGAATGTGCACAGAGGCTAGAATTGTTATACAAGGAAGAGGCAGAGAGAAAAATGACCCATGAAATAAGGTAAAAATGACTCCAATCAAATCTCTAGAGATGAAAACTATATATAACATGTAAACTACATGAGGTAGAACTAATACACAAGATACCCCAAACAGAAGACTATAGACACAGCACCTAACTAATGGTGTGGGATTTGGGGAAGATAATGGGCAATGGACATTTCGTGCTTCCGGAAACTGAAGAGTTCTCATATGGACATAATTCAAGTACCCAAGGTAAAGGAGGGGTTGCATGAGCAGAAAAGTATTTTTAAATCCCAAACTTCTAAATCACAGTAAAAAAGCTAAAAATCAAAAACCTTTAATAACAAGAAATATGAAGAGAACTATATCAATCATAATTAAGTTCCCTAAAACCAATGAAAAACAGACAGTACTTAAAGGAGAGGGAGAAAATGTACAGAATGATAAAGTTGAGGGTTACAGTAGATCAGGAAGAGAACACATCAAAGACAACAGGGGGACATCTTCAATGCAGAATCAATAGCCAGTGAAAAATGACAAAATACTTCCAGCAGTCCCATAGTGTAAGGCAGTAATTAAAGGAAAAGTTTCACTGGCTGAAAGTGTGCCCCCCCCACAAAAGGACAAACATGGCCCCCCACAAAAAGACAGAAGGTAATAGTAGCAATGTACATGCCTATACACAATATTTTAGTGCAAGGCTAAAAGTTAATTTACTTTTAAAAATAAAAGCCAGCTGGGCAGGCTGGATAAATAAATCCCAGCACCCAGGAGGCAGAGGCAGGTGGATCTCTGAATTTGAGGCCAGCCTGAGCTACAGCGTGAGTTCCAGGAAAGGCACCAAAACTACACAGGGAAACCATGTCTCAGAAAAAAATACACACACACACACACACACACACACACACACACACACACACACACACACATCTGTGCAGTGGATGTTGACAAAGTCAGGTAGAAGGAAGAAGCTACAGAAGGTATGAGTGTTGGGTGTGGTTCTCATTGTTACTGGACAGTAGACGGTGGTAAGTTAAGGAAGCATACTGTCGCCGGGCGGTGGTGGCGCACGCCTTTAATCCTAGCACTCGGGAGGCAGAGCCAGGCGGATCTCTGTGAGTTCGAGGCCAGCCTGGGCTACCAAGTGAGCTCCAGGAAAGG